ATCCAAGCCACATAAACATCTCAAACAGCCTGGCTACTTCATATAGCGGTCCATCTTTAAAGCGTCATAACCCTGCCATCAGTTCTAAACACAGCTCAGGCTGTGACGAACATTGGGCTGAAAATGCAATGAGTCACAGGTGGCTTGAAGAGAGGACTGTGTACAAGTAAAAAAGTCATGAGACCATACGTGAGACACAGCACTGACCGGACCAACAAGCAAAAAATATATATACACTCACGCACACATTAAGACCCTGCCACAGGAGAAAAACTACATAGTGCCAGTAACATAAAAGAATAAATAAATGTACATTATTTTCTCACACCAACAAATTTAACAGCAGAACATAAAGAAGGCTAAACCTGTGTTTACTTCAAACTGCCCATGACGTTTTTTCACAACTGATAATGACTGATAATAACCTTACACTCTCACACTTTCAAGGTCTGTACAAGGAGAATGATTTTGGTAATTGAAAAAAACTAAAAAGGTTATTGAAGTATGTATTACATTGAAGTATGTTTTAAGGTGTTACTTTGCTGTTTCTTTGTAATTATTTGTGAAATTCACTACCAATTTTGTGAGTGAAAACTGTTTCTACACCACTTTTTTTTTTCAGTGCAAGTTTAAGTTGAAGTATGAAAACTACTAAAACTAAGACTGAAATATAAATAAAGCTATTTAAAAAAAACTAATAAAAAATGACAAATGTGCAACAAAACTACACTTCAACATTAAAATTGTCAAACAACAAAAACTAATTATATATATATATATATATATATATATAAAATAAAAGTGTAAATGTATATAAAATATAAATAGCTTATTTTGCTGTGTACACAAAAAAGTAGAAAGCAGAAAAAAGGCAGATCAACATCACTCAAAGTAGAATACATTTACTAGAGCTTATTTTTATTTTTACTAAAAGTTGTAACTTAAACATAACATTTATTATTATTATTATAATTTATAATACCCATGTTAAATTGGAGAATACTAATACTAATATAATGCATTCCTTAAAATCAAGCCATCTAAACAGGATTGTGTGCGAGTATGAACAAAAGGAAAAAAGCTTAACTATCAAAAACAGTCAGAAAGAATCAGAGTGTCTCACATGTCATTTCATAGCCCCTTTCACACAATAATACCAATAAATTGCCGTAAAATTTTCGGAGCGTGTGCTGTTCACACAGGCAACGACGTTCCGTCTTTTTACGGTAAAGCACCATGCACACATCAGTTTCAAAATACAGGTAAATTCTGTGACATCATTAACGGAAAAAAATTATCTTTACATGGCTGCGCGTCCCGGTGTTGTGTTTGTAAACAACATGGAGGGGTCGGTCAGTGTTTTTGTTGATGTTTTAATTTTTGTGTCAAACGTTCACATTCATGCAGCTGCTTTTGGCCCAGAGACATCGCATTAGACAATTTCAAAACCGAACTACACAGAGCAGAGTAAACGCGTCATCTGCGTCAGAATGTTATGATTGGCCCGGAGTAGACATCTTACCTCAGCACATTCTGAACTCGTACATGCTCATACCGGCAATCTTGTGCTGCGTTCACACAGAGCGCATTACCGGTAATTTATTGGTAACGTTATTTTTGCTGGAACAAATTTATCAGTATTTTCAAAAGGTTCCTGTTCACACATTATCTCTTAACCGTAATTTACCGGTAATTTACCAGTAAAGACTGAATGAGTGAAAGGGGCTCATGACTCAAAATGAGAAAAAGACAGTAAAGTTGCACAAACACACCTATTGAAAATTCACTGTACAAAAATTTTCCTTCACTAAAAATTTTAATTAAAATTGGAGCACACACATTGACGTCTGTGTTCAATGTGCCACTTCTAAGTGCATTTCTCCAGCTCCCTTTTGATGAGATGAGGGCACAAATTATATTGCATAAAATGATACAGAGTAGGGTGAATTTTAAAAAATGCATTAATAGGGGTTAGGGCTGCACGATTAATCGCATGCGATATTTAACGCGCATCTTATCAGTAAAGCCGGTTCTGTAATCAGCGGTAAATCTCCATCACCTGCGGCCTTTCACATTGAGCAGCATTAACTACACAGAGCCGTTGTTCACTGACAAGCTGCGCTAAACCACGTTCATATTCGCGCGATTTTTTGCGCAACTCATCAGTGAACAACGGCTCTGTGTAGTTAATGCTGCTCAATGTGAAAGCACGCAGGTGATGGAGATTTACCGCTGATTACAGAACCGGCTTTCTGACAAGATGCGCGTTAAATATCGCATGCGATTAATCGTGCAGCCCTAATAGGGGTAAATATTTAATGGATTGACGACTCTAATTTTTTTGTAGTTCTATGCATAAGCCGTCATGATAACAACTTTTTGTTGTGTGATATACTGCCCCAGAAATAATTGCAATAAACAATATTATTGTCATTTTAAGATGATAATCATAATATAAAAGCATAATAATGCAAGAAGGCCAAAACACTTTAAAATGACAACAAACTTTTAATTCTTAAGAATATTTAGATCATGGAAATTAAGTATCACAATATTAGATACCTTAAAAAACTTGAATAAACAGTAAATAAAAATTTTCTAAAAAAAAAAAGAGCAAAGTAACAAGTAGAAAAAAATAAAAATTCACAAATAACTTGTATGGAGATTTTTCCATCTACAGATTTTTCCCGGACCTTCTTTTCTCTGTAAATGAAGGGTGCACTGTATTGCTGAAAAACACAATCTCTACTTAGCAGTCAGACGTCTGTATGAACAAAGGCACAGATCCCTAAACAAGGCCATATCTGCAGCAACTTTTTTGTAGAAGCATTTTTTAAATTTGAACTAGCACCAACTACACCACGTTATGTACGAGAAGCTGCAAAAGACACAGGCGCAAGTGGAAAGCAAAAAACATGATGACATTAATTTTTATGTAAATATAATGGGCAATATATTGCATCACCAAAAATTATTGAGGTCATGTACATATATTGTGCGGTAAGTCAATATATTGATTATTGTGGCAGGCCTATCTAACATGCATTGTGAAAGCTCTCATCTCATCATATGCAAAAGTAAATTTTGAATATATTTGTCTCCATAAGCACCAACAAAAGATAGGAGCTAGAATTATATACTGCCGCAATTCAAACTAGGACAAGATGGAGTTCAAACTTAGAAAATTCCATTTACTTTCTTTCTAATTTGATATTTTGTTTCCAGGTGTCCTTACAGATCCCATGTGAGGGAGAACTGACGCTACTGCTCAGTAAGAACAGGTGCTTGCAGGTCAAAATAATGTCTGAAACTGGTCATACTGAAACCTCAATTCATGAGCGTGACTGGAACAGTGCACTCATTCAAAGCGCACTCAAATCACTTGAAGCACAAAGTGAATGGCCTTATGTGCAACCAAGTAGAGAAGGAACTAAACTCTTTATAAAAAGTGTGAAAACATGCAAAGCTCTGATACAGTTTTATTTTAAAGATGAAGATGTGTCCTGTAAAATACTGCCTTTATGTATGTGCAGAAACAAGTCAGGATGACTACATGAAAACCCAGCACTATGTTTCAGTATATTTACTTTGCCGCACATGTTTGATGACCTTGAATTTAGTGTTTAAACATGACCTTTTACCCTTGGCTGGGGCCGACTTTTTGGGCAATGTGGGCTTGACGTTAAAAAATAAATAAAAATCAAACAACTGCAAGCACCATATCCTACTCAATGAACTAACAAAGTTTCCATATTTATACAACTTAAAGATAACAAATTGCATGTGCCTAAAAAAAGTTAAATAAACAGTCTGCTGATTTTCCATTATCTCACACACACATAACATAAACCCAATACTTTTGTTAAACCTTTTTACTTCACACTAGAATGCAAAAGAAGAGCCAATCAAAGGAAAACATTTAAAACTCTATACTCTATTTACGGCACAGACACAGGGACAAGCGCTGCCCCACTTTTCAAGTGTTTGAATCAATGATTAATAGTGTAAGTTTTGTTTCACTTCAGTACGAACACAACATTCTGACCAGCATTATAAGAGTGCTGTAAAATAACGTCTTGTGGGTAAAAAGTAAACGTTTTCCTGTAGTACTGAGAAAAGGCAATATTACTACGATTCTACTAAACAGACATTTTCATTAAATGTGTTCTTGAAACTTGTTAAAAAAAAGGATCAAATATATTTTACAGGACACATCTTCATCTTTAAAAATAAAACTGTAACTACTGGAACAACATGGGGATACAACCCAAAACTTCACATAAGTAACTAAGCCTAAATGCAATTTTGATCCATTTGAAACATCCTGAAATGTGCACTGCGTTCACTCTAAAATACCAAACAAAGTTACACTGAAATGTTTAGCAAATAAAGAAAAGTTCTCACCCCATCACAGTGAAACAATCAAACCCAAATAAATTTGGGAGCTAGGCAACAGGTGACTGACCCAATATTAAGACCTGGCCCAACAACAATGTATACAAAATACTAATGCTATCACACTTATGATATAAACTCTGTGGATTATTGCTGTATAAGGAGTGTGCTGTCGTGGTGTAGTGTGATGGGGTATCAGGAGTGTGTTTAGGATGGCAATGTACACTCTTAAAAATTAAGGGTTTCAAAAAGGGCTTTTCGCAGCAATGCCATAGAAGAATAATTTTTGGGTCCCCAAAGAACCTTTCAGTGAATTGTTCTTTAAATAACCATTTTTTGTTAATGTGAAGAACATTTTAAACCTTTTTTCCACTATAAATAACTGTTTGTTGAATAAAAAAGTTCCATGGATGTTAACAGTTCTTCATGGAACTAGAAATGCAAAGAAAGAACCTTTATTTTTATGAGTGTATGTTGCCTTTTGAAGTGTCAGGAGTGTGTATCGGGAGTATGATGATTTGTGATGTGTTTTATAGTGCATATAAGGAATGTGTTGGTATATATCAACTGGTAACAGAGTTGATGGACTGTTGAACAGCCCCTACCTGTTCTCTGGATATACAGGGCAGAGAAGGTCTGCGGGGCATCTTACAACTGCCATAATAACTGCTGGACGTCTCTCCCAAAGAAACACAGCTTGACCTTCTTCTGGGTCTGATGACGGGAACTTTCTCCTCCGCGTTAGGAATCCTGCCGGCCGTCTCCCTCGGTGGGTAATAGTGATCAAAACAAAGCGCCAGCAGAGTGCCGGAGACCCCCGCCAAACACGCCAGCACCGGCCTGAGGGACGGAGACAGGCAGACGAGGCTGGTGAAGGACAGCAGCCACACCATGCTGGCGAAGACCAGGATCAGGACGCTGTGTTTGAGTTTGAGAGTGGGGATGAGAGTGAGCAGACCCACGCAGCCCAGCACAAACAGCAACCTGCCCATCATTTGCATCTGATGGTGCTCCTCTCCCCACTGCAACAAGCGCAAGACCATCAAATCCCCCAAGTAGCATGACGCTGGTAAGGACAAAAGCCAACATCTGCTGCTTTCCCTCTTCGTCCGCCTCAGGTAGAGGGTGAGGAAGAAATACGCGCAGCCGATGCTGAATAAAGGACTGATGGACTGGGAGAAATCAAAGAGTAAAGTCCGCAGCTCCGAGACGCCGTGTTCACTCTGAAAGCTCCAAGAAATGAAGCAGGAGAGCGCCAGAACTGCCAGCGCTCCCACGTAGACAGCCGAGCCGCGGAATAGTTTGGACTTGAGGATATCCTCATTGCAAAACCTACAGACGTTGAACAAAAAGCCCCTCGGATGGTCTTGTCTTAACGGAGTGACGCAGCTCTTCACATAGCCGTTCCTGAGGCTCTCCGCGCTGTTTGCATTGCCACCAACACCATCGTGCTGTCTGCTTTTACTGTGCAAACCCTCTCCTTCCTCCCGCACAGCCATGTTGTCCTCCTCCAGTGCTCTTTAAACTTTCATTCCTCCGAGATAAATCCTCCGTGTGTCAACGTTTCACTACATGACGGCAAACGCGCTCCATGGTCACTCAAACGTGCTCAGGCATTTTGGCCAGGAGGAAAAGAGGCTGAAATGTTGTTGTTTTTTAGCAGACTCGAGCTCTAGGTCGCCGTCTAGGTGCGACAATTTGTAACAATGACCAGAGCGCGAGAGACAGACGCGCGCGCGCTCTGCAGCGCAGCCAAACCGCGCCGCCTTCAATTTATGCCTGTATCTTTCATTTCTAGTCATTTTTCCTTGCCTCAGTGCGGTATTTGAACAATACCATAGAATGCTGAATATATCTATATGTAGAAAATACATAACAAGACTTAAAACACAGCATATATGTAGGCTATATGTGTGAGTGAGTGTATCCTTAGAAACTTTGGAGTCGTGTGTATGTATACATACGCTGTCTTTATTATTTGGAAATACGCACGATTGTAGCATATGATTGAGCTAAGTCACTAATCAGTCAGGTAAATAGTGTTGATTATTCTATCTTTTACGTTTTCGGCTATAACGAGACAACAGGCCCTTATGGTTTAAATGCACCACAAGAGGTCACTAATACATTATGTTACGGCTGAGTTATCAACAGTTTCTTACCAATGATTGGGATCCAGAGGCTAAGCTGACCAAGGAACCCACTAATATTACTGTGTTTTACTTGTAACACTGCATACTATCTCATCATTATTACATTAAGCTAATTTTGGTTGAGTTTCTCAACTAGCCTATACCTTTTCATTCTTTCTGTTCTAAAAGCAAAATCAACCAAAAATGATATCAAATACCAACCAAATACCAGCTGTATCCGTTAGCATTAGCTAATGCACTGTGAACTAACATGAAGAATTGTTTTTATTAACTTACATTAAAGGATTACTATGTTAGCTAATGCAGTAACTTAACAAAAGGGGCCTTATTGTGAAGTGTTAGCCAAATAATACCTTTAAGAACATATTATAGTATTATTAGAGTTTTTTATATATACATACCATATTCCTTTTGGGAATTATTTTAATTCAAGTTTATATCTTGAGGACTTTATTTGGTGATAATACTGAAGCTATTATTTGCTTGATCTAGCTAATCTTGAGATTATAAGACAAGTATAGAAATATAAAGAAAAAAATAAAATTGGCCCATGATCCTTTTGTCTTTGTTCAGTCAACACCTTTTCCCTTTATGAAAAAAGAACATAAGAGGGTTATAAAGAGGGGAAGTCCCTCTGATGCCAAAGGCTTCAGGTAAAAAGAAGCTGTTTTCTGAACTAAGATGTGGTCTTTCCTTTACAGCATGAACACAAAGAAAGGCTCGTTTAATGGTCTTAAAATTACTCACATTTGTAAAAAGATCTAGATATAGAAGTTTATGAAAATTTAATATATTTATCCCATATGGTGAACAAGAACAATTCATGCACTTGGCTGGAAAATTGGTTTGAAATTGTGGTTCTCGCATTATGGTTCAATTATGATCTCAAATGATGGAGACTAATGCTGGTTCCATAATGCATTGAAACTGTTACTGAGCTCATTTACTTTACTTCTGTGCTGCAAACCCCACAGCTATCTTAAGAGCTTTTCCATGATTCCAACTGCACAAGTGGTTGAGTAGACAAGGCAATAACACCATCAGTCATTCTCATGTGAGGATCATAATGTATCTTCTAATTGTTATAGAACTGTTCAGCTGGATGCTATGACATTATATGCATACACAAATGTATATGTACACTCGAAAAAAAAAAAGGATTTAAAAATAGGGTTGCCTGTACGGTGTTAATATGAAGATATGAAGGTCTGTATTGAATTTTCACAGGTGTTTTCCCTGTATTTTGAATTACATGTTATACGGTGTTGTGTTTTGTTACAGGCAAAGTCTGTAAACTGAATGGAAAGTGTCCTGGGAGAAAATGACCAGTATCTTTTCCATTTTTCTACAGATTTTCCTACAGTGTAATTTGATTAAACATATGTTATATAAGTTGTATTATATAATAAATATATAACATTTCCCAACAGAGGAAGGCCTATATGTGCATCAGAACAACAGCAGGGCCTAAACAAGAAATTATCCTTTAATGGGCCTATTTAAAATCCCTTTAAAATGTTATCATTCAATATATATATCCATTTTCTCAAAAAATGTTGTAAATGTAAAAATATAATATATAACAATTAATAGTCCAATATTATTATATTTGTAAAATAAATATATATTTTTTTTTTCTATTTTGCCTTGACAACTAGCTGAAATAAAATATATTTAGGTATTTATTTATTTATTTATTTGTAATGGTTTTAGGTTTAGTTAACTATAAAAACCCCGTTTCACATCAATAAATTCGAATAGTTTGTGTGTTGTTTAACCTTTTCGCTTCAGACATTCGGTTTTAATTTTTCCTTATACATCTTGACTAACACAGGGAACATTAAGCATAATGTTCCAGCATAAACAAGCACAACATAATCACAAACACATACACAGCTCCAGTCACGAACATGCTGTATCACTCCGCAACAAACTTTCGCGTTTGCGTAACGCTCCGCGTGGTTTGAACCGTCTGGCTCGCTGTAGTATTGATGTGGAAGGAGAGTGCTACGATTGGTTAACACTGGACTGTGACTGGAGCACTGATGGCAAAAAATGATCATACATAGACTAAATTATATATTGGAAATAAAAGGTATTATATCGCCATATCAGAGTGGATTTAGGGCTGGACGGAATACAATGGATGCTGTTTTAAGCCTAGAAGCCGATGTCAGGAAAGCTCAGACAAATAAAGAAGTATTGGTTGAAGTTGTACAAACAGGAGCTGGAGCAAGTCTCAGTAGTTAAATAGCTCGGTGTTTGGATGGAATCTAGATTAACATTTGCAGTGCACATTAAAAAACTGATTAAGAAATGTAAAACAGGAGTAGAAAGGTTAAAACTCATTAAGGAAGTAAGAAACATGGGTGTTGAATCATTTAATTTGTCAAACCTCTTGAAAGAGCATGCAGAACAAGGTAAAATATATGGTGCTATTGTTAAATACATTAAAGAAATAGGATTAATCAGGAGAATTTAGGAATGTGTGTTTTTTTTTTATTTTTATATAAAATATAGATAAATATAAATATGTATATATTAGTTGTTTATTAGTGCTCCACACTCCAGACCAGTTGGTGGCGGTAAATGCACCAGAAGTTGGTTTGCCATCCGCCATAAAACATTAGAAGAAGTATTGATGTGGCCAAGTCAGTCAGGTTCCACGTCATTTGGAAGAATCTCTCCAGACACGGATGCGCATACAGAAGAAGAGAGAGGCCTAAGACCTGTTTAAAAGGTAATAAATTAGCAGCTTTACAAGAGAGCACATTAATAAAAGACAAATTTGTTGTTAGTTTGAGCTGCTTCGAGCACGGAAGCACTGGTTGTGCTCGGTTTTATCGCAGACAGTTAAGTTGGCTTGCTAGCTGCTACTGTAGCAGTGATGTCGACTGTTCGCGCAATCAGTAATTTAGCTGTATAGTATTAACTGTGTTATCAAGATGTGTTATTAAACAGCAGTGCTGATATTAATACGTTTCGATTTTATATTAACTGCACAACATGGTACAAGTTGGTCTTCTGCCACGGCTGGATAAATATCTGCTAATTCAGTGAATCCTGTGCGGCCGCAGATCTTGATATAAAAAAAATTCTTCTTAACAGAGTAGACCCTAAAATCACGGACGACGTTAGTTGCATTTATAGTTTGGCTCTGCTTCATGTAGTTGCATATATATCGTGGAAGTACCATAGTGTTCTCTGAAGTACTTTGAAATGGCACGTTAATGCAAGGTGCTCAGAAATGGTAATAATTTAAAGGTGCACTATGTATTTTTTGCTGATAGCAACAAGCTTTACATTTAAAAATGAATAGCACTTTGAGTAATATCATTGACATTATGTGTACACTTTTTATTCTGCATTGTGCAGGGCAACACCAAGTTGGCATGGGATGACCTGCTGTGACATGCAATTGACAGTTACTATTACTACTACTAAATAATGTTCATTTATATAGCACTTTGAGCCAGTGCTCTGGTCACTTTATGCATATGCGTGAATGATGAACATAAAACTACCAAACAATATACATCATACCAATAGATTTGTCACATTGTCATATAATTGACTATTCATTTGAACTTTTAGTGATGTGTTGTAACCTGTGTTTCAGGAAACCTCATAGGCACTCTCTGACTGAGTCTAGTGAAGAGAAAAAGAGCTGACATCATGACAGCTGCGGAGAATGTGTGTTACACTCTCATCAATGTCACCAATGACTCTGAACCACCATCAGAAGTCAGCTTGAAAGCTGATTTAGGTAATATCCATGTGTAGTAATTTATTAAATTAAATTACATTTATTAAATTGAAATGTTTTTTAAGATGTAATTTATTCTTTTGATGGCAAAGCTGAATTGTCAGGAGCCATTACTCCAGGCTTCAGAGTCACATGATCCTTCAGAAATCATTCTAATATGCTGATTTGGTGCTCAAAAAAGTTAAATTTTTAGCACAGTTAAAAAAAAACTTGTGCTGTTTTTTTGTGGAAACTGTTTTTTAATGAAATTTCGAAAGAACAGCATTTATTTTAAATAAAAATATTTTATAACAATGTAAAAGCCTTTGCTGTCACTTCTGATCAATTTAATGGGTCCTTACTGAATAAAAGTACTACTTTCTTAAAAAATATATTTTACTGACACCAAACAATTGAAAGGTAGTAAATGTGTGTAAACATTTTCCTCCTTTATTTTTGTCAAAACAGAAAAGGGTGAAATCAAAGCCAAGACAGAGGCTTTGAAAAAGGTCATCATCATGATCCTGAATGGAGAGAAACTTCCAGGCCTGTTAATGACCATTATTCGGTTTGTGCTGCCTCTTCAGGACCACACAATTAAAAAACTATTGCTAGTTTTTTGGGAGATTGTTCCCAAAACTACTCCTGATGGCAAACTTCTTCAGGAGATGATTTTGGTCTGTGATGCCTACAGGAAGGTAGGCATGTAATATGGAACTTAATGTGTATTGCTTATTTTAAAGAGTTATATTGTGTGCATTTTTTTCTTTCAAATATGCCTTCTGTGTTATGCATCTATAGGATCTCCAGCATCCCAACGAGTTCATCCGTGGCTCCACCCTGCGCTTCCTGTGCAAGCTGAAGGAATCTGAGCTGCTGGAGCCCCTCATGCCAGCAATCCGCGCCTGTCTGGAGCATCGTCACAGCTATGTACGCCGCAATGCAGTCCTGGCCATCTACACTATCTACAGGTGTGTTGATGGATATTTGTGTGGAGGAGCGAGAAACAAACATCAAAGACATTTTTCTTTTTTTTTTTTAGGAACTTTGAGCACCTGATCCCAGACGCTCCTGAGTTGATTCATGATTTTCTTGTAAATGAGAAAGACGCAAGCTGCAAGAGAAATGCTTTTATGATGCTGATTCATGCAGATCAGGTACACAGTCTTATTATAGTTTTAAAAAATTATGTTTTTAAGTGCAAGAATGGGAATCTCTTGAAACTATGTACCTGTTCTTCTAATACATTATTGCAGGATAGAGCTTTGGACTACCTTAGCACCTGTATTGATCAGGTGCATACATTTGGAGACATTCTACAGCTCGTCATTGTGGAGCTGATTTATAAGGTGAGGTGTCTATACACATCTTAAAGTCATTCTTGTTTAACCCTCAGAGCAGCGTTGCAATTTTAGTATAAAACAATTAAATAATACAGAACGCTCACTAAATATGGGTACAAACAACACATAACAGTAGCCAACATTCTGAAATTTATCACAACAATGATTGCACATTAACTGCCACAGCTTACAGTCACACAAAGCTATCTGACACAATTCTTAATAGTTTTGGAACAAATCTATCTATTTGCAAAGTACCGTATTGGCCCGAATATAAGACGACCCTCCTTTTTCCAGATGTACCCTTTGGAAAAAGGCTTTTTAAAAACCAAATCTTGTTTTTTGTTTTTTAAATTTTTGTTTTGAAAGTATGGTAAAAACTGGTAAAATGTACCAACAATCACATTTAAAAAATATACACTTTTTGATATACCATAAAAAATAAAAAAAAACAGGTAGCCCATCTGAATTAGGACATTTAGGCTATCCATCTAATAGTAGCCTGCCAAAATCCTATTAACAGTAGAAGTTAAATCTTACTGTAGTCTTCAAATCTGGGTACTGTCTTACATTTTAAAATCACAAAGGGAGTTTGGTCCCATCAGGCTAACGTGACAGTCACGACTCATGCAGCTGTAAGGTTTTCTTTTTCTTTTGTTTTTACTCGCGATCTTTACAACACGCATTACATTACGTATTTCATGGCACACTCGTTTTATGCGTATTTGGCACCGCCTATTGTGGGTGTATTATTGACATGTCAAAGTCTAGACCCTGAATATAAGACGACCGTGTTTTTTCAGATGTATTTCCAAGAAAAAAACATCGTCTTATATTTGGGTCAATACAGTAAGTATTTTTATTTCTATGTGTCTAATGGTGAGAAAAGGCTTACATGCCGTTGACAAGGCTTATGCCCAATAAATGCTTTGGGCTTACGCAGAAACTAACGCAGATGAAGTATACCCATGCCTTTACACTGACATTTTGAACATAAATCATTTTAAGACCATTTTTATAAGTGTAGCAAGAATGCAGTGCTGGGCATTAGGGGCCAAGCGTTATTCCATTGTTCTCAAACAATCAAGCCTATTCAAGGATTGGTTTCAAAAATTATTTCAGGTGTTTTGTCATCATTGTCTCACTGGTATAACAATATTTTTTTATTAAAGTAATATTAAAATTACTGCACTATATTTAATATATGGTTTGACAGGAATATTTATTTCAATGTTTAAATAGTCCAAATATCTTAATTTTTCACAACTTTAGCCTTACATTTTGTGCTTAATTCTGTTGTGAATTCAAAACTTCTCTACAATAGCGGTTAGATTTTGCAACCCTAAATGTCCAGTGATTTCACAATTTAGTTTTTTAATAACTAATGGCTTCTTAAAGACATGTTTATGGGGGAAAAATACATTATGAATATCAATACTTTTTTGACTTTGAGGTATAAGCCTTATTTTAGGAATAGTTAAAACAAAATAAAATGTTATAATTATTTATTCAACCTCATGTCATTTTAAAACTGTATGCTATTTCTTATTTAGTGGAGCTTTTTAAAATAATCATTACAGTTTTCAATATAACCGTTCATAGTGACCATAGGCTGTCAAGCTCCAAAAAGGACAAATAAGGACCATGAAAGTGGTCTAAGTTCACAAGTTTTATGCTATATTGTTCATCTTGTAGCCAATGTCAAATCATCAGTTTCTTTTTTTGGATGTACTATTCTCTTAATGAAATGCTGTCATCAACAGCACAGTTATCCTTCTGGTTCAGTCAAATTCTAAGCTCTTCAGCTTTATGCACACTGCGTACTGGCAGATGGTCTTGAACACATTCTCACTGTGTCTATTCTATTTGTTTAGGTCTGTCATGCCAACCCCTCAGAGAGAGCTCGTTTCATCCGTTGTATCTACAACCTGCTGCAGTCGTCCAGTCCTGCTGTAAAATATGAAGCAGCTGGAACTCTGGTTACTCTGTCCAGCGCCCCCACCGCCATCAAGGTACAGCATCTAACACCACAATTGTTCCCATATAATTTTAAAATAAAGGGAATGACTTTGTTTACATGTTCTTTGTGTTTCAGGCTGCTGCTCAGTGCTACATTGATCTGATCATTAAAGAGAGTGACAACAACGTCAAGCTCATTGTTCTGGACAGACTGATCGAGCTGAAGGAACACCCCACACATGAGCGTGTGCTGCAGGTACACTTGAGTTCAGCACTTCATTTGGAGACATTCGTTCTACAAATCAAACCTAACAGTAAGCTTGGCGCTGTGTTTTGTTTTTAGGACCTTGTGATGGATATTCTGAGGGTTTTGACCACTCCTGATCTTGAGGTCCGCAAGAAGACCCTACAGCTGGCCCTGGACCTGGTGTCATCCCGCAATGTGGAGGAGGTGCGTGTCAAAACCTGCCATTTAAAAGGACTGTTCACCTCAAAATTACCAATTTCATCATTTATTCATGTCGTTCCAAACCTGTATGATTTGCGTTTTTTAAGGGGAACACAAAAGGAAAACTGTTGAAAAATGTTCTTTTCCATGTAATTAAAATTTACAGGGACTGTAAACTGCCTAAAAGCACTATAAAAGTGGTTTATATGACTTAAGGGGTGGTCACACTGCACTTTTTGTTCCGTTGACTTCCATTCGTACGCATGCAAATATGGAAGACTGGAAACGCAAACTCAGGAAACATTTGTTTGTTATATTTAAAGGGGTCATATGATGCAATTTCAATTTTATGTCCCCACTGGATGCAACAAATGCCTCGTTTGTAATGGATTTTCATGTTTTTGTCTCGTTGCTCCGGCCGGGACACGGCATCAACAGTATGGTGATGGGCGTAACATTTCTGTCACACGCTTGAGGTATTCGGCCAATCACAACGCACTGGATAGCTGGCCAATCACAGCACACCTCGCTTTTCAGACCGATGAGCTTTGTAAAAATCGATGCGTTTCAAAAAGGCGGGGCATAGAGGAGAAACAATAATGTACAGTATGTGGAAAATAATGTGTTTTTTTTACTTTAAACCACATAAACACATTTCATTACACCAAATACACAAAATAATGTTCTTTTTAGCAGCATCATATGACCCCTTTAAGTTTGAAAAAAAGGCACCACAGAGCATGATGCCATATCTCGTTCAGTCTCTGAAGAAACTTCGCATTTTCAAAATCTAATGTGATCACTGTTTTATGCGCCATATTTTATTACTTTATTAGTGCTTTTTTTGTATGATATTAAAGCTTGACATCCAGGATCCCCATTTACTTTCATTAAGTCTTTCATGCAGTGGTAAATCATTACTATTTAATGTTAAATTAACTTTCCCATTCAAGCAGAGGGCCTGAACTGCTCTTTTTTTTCTGCAGCTGGTTATAGTGCTAAAGAAAGAAGTCATCAAAACCAACAATGTGACTGAGCATGAGGACACAGACAAGTACAGGCAGCTGCTTGTTCGCACTCTCCACTCCTGTAGCGTGCGCTTCCCTGACATGGCAGCCAATGTCATCCCTGTGGTACGTCTGTTGAGTGAACACTGTAAACACTCTTTTTATGCATTTCAGTTATTTCAGAATATTCATTACTGGCAAAATTGAAGTTACACACTTCACTAGATCATTGGACCATTTAACATTCATTGTTAATTAGAGATGTCCCGAGCTGATCTCAAGATTCGGGATTGGGGCCAATCAAGCATTCTTTTAACTGATTGGTATCGGTATCGGCTCTCCTAAACCCGATCTTTATTTTATGTCAGCTGTCATCCCGGTGACATGCAGTGTTTGCCTTCCAGTAGATTTGCCTGGAACTGTGCATGCGTAACGTGCGAGAACCAGTGAGGACTGTTCTAGCACGTCACACACGTTTGAGCTTCCGTGCTCAGTGTATTTGATGCGCTTTTTTGTAAAGATCACTCATTCATTTATCGTTTACCTTTATCTGTTGTTGCCATAACGCATTGCGATGAGTTGCGTCTTGCTTTGGATTTGACTGACAGACTAGCATTGACACCGCAAGCTTCATACTTTCTAACCATATCTCCACTTTTTTACCTTTGTTTCAATAATTCTGCTTATTGTCTATGTAAATTACAAGAAGTTTACATCAATAGTCCCATATTCTATGTCTTTATACAGTATGTGCAAATATAGACATAGAGAGAGTGTATCTTATATATGTATGCAAACACATTACTTTTACTCTCTGCACAACTCTGAATCCATTGGATTGATTTAAATAACTATAATGTACTTGAATTGTGCATCAAACACTAAGAATATACAAGTATTGGAATGGGACTTGGTATCGGCAGATACTCAATATTCATATTGAATCGGGGGCACAAAAAAACCTGACTGGGAAATCCTTATTGTTAATACATAATACGAATGGCGCCGACAGTGATGGCTGCCTCCGTGGCGTTCTCCGCAGTTGTTTTTATGTTTTTGCTAGTTCTGTGTTTCACGGAAACCTGGCTGAAAGACGCCATTCCGGACAGCGCGTTGAGTCTCCCGGGCTTTCAGCTATTTAGAGCAGATCGTGACGCAGAATCAACGGGGAAATGGCGCGGCGGCGGGTCATGAGAGACTGTAACATCTTATATCAGTTTCTGTGAAGACATGTGCATTCCTACCAGGACTCATCTAACTTACAACGACAAACCATGGTTCACTGCAAAACTTCAAGACAGCTCCGTCAGGCCAAAGAAGATGCTCACAGGAAGGGTACTATTTATACACTCATACACTTATTTATCTAACACTCATACTCAGTCTACACCTAAAATTTGCACATAATATACAGTACCTGTACATACAAAACTGTCTATTGTAATATACCTGCACATACAATTGTCGATTTATATATTTTTATTCCTTATTTACTTGTTCTATTTTTTATTTTTTATTATCTGTGTTTTTTGTTCTGTCACTGTCATTCTGTTACACTGTGGAAGCTTCTGTCACGAAAACAAATTCCTCGTATGTGTAAACATACCTGGCAATAAAGCTCATTCTGATTCTGATACATCTAGCCCTTTGAGATCTTCTGATGGTTGATAAACTCACTGTTCACATCTTTACTCTAAAATTAACTATTTGTGTTTTGTATGTGGCCACAGCTGATGGAGTTCCTGAGTGACACTAACGAGGCGGCCGCAGCCGATGTGCTGGAGTTTGTGCGTGAGGCAATTCAGAGGTTTGACAACCTTAGACCTCTCATCATTGAGAAGATGCTAGAGGTGTTTCACGCTATCAAGACGGTCAAGTAAGAAATGCTGCTTAACTGCTTCCTTAGAAGTTTGATAAAACCAGTTACATAAGTCATCTGTATATGAAAAATTAATTGGTCTATTATTTTAGACTGCTTAATAGTACTTTGTCATGTTTAGGGTTATAAAAGGGATCGCGATGCATTGCAGTGATTTTAAAACAAGTTTTCTGTCGCAGGATTTTCAGAGGAGCTCTTTGGATTTTGGGTGAATATTGTAGCACTAAAGAGGACATCCAGAGTGTCATGACAGAAGTCCGCAGATCTTTGGGAGAGGTCTGTAGTGCATCAGTTCATATTGCTTTGTTACATCCAGGGCTCATCATTAACACTTGTCTGGAACAACCACCAAATTAACAACAACATTCCTTGAGTGTAATTAGTAAACATGTTAAGTTGAATGAAATTGAGTCAAAGGCTTTAGGGTTAAAAAGTGTTGTAATGCAAAATAAAAGTGATGAAATCAAGACAGAAGTATATATGTTCTCATGTTCCTGGAAATATCTGTGAATTTCACGAATGTGATTTTCAGGCCTGGAAAATTCTTGAAAATTAATCAGATCTTCTTTATGCACCAAGAGCTTGTAACACTCCAAAGAGAAAGGAAAACTTGAAATCGCATCATATGACCCCTTTAAAAGATCTTGGACAGTTCTATGGTCATTATAAAACTGAGACAAACTTTATTTGGCTAGGAACTATTATTGAGTGTGCTCGCTGTAAAATTATTTATAAAAACTCAAGAAAAATGGCTTTAAAAGTCATAGACAAGTTAAAGTGTGGGAGCCCTGAATATACTATTATTTCTATTACTAATACTATATTGATATAATAATAATATATTAAAATATGCAGGTTTACTGAAAAAAAACTCACAGTAGTGTACAATATACATATAATACAACTGAGGTTTTCTAAATTATACAGAAATTGAGATACCTTAGTGCCCTCATATCTTTTTTAAATTATGATCTTTCTTTTTATTCAGATCCCAATTGTGGAAAACGAGTTGAAAAAGGAGGCTGGAGAGGTGAAACCTGAGGAGGAGGTGACTGCAGCTCCAGCTCCTAAGCTAGTGACAGAAATGGGCACTTACGTCACTCAGAGTGCCCTGAGCACCTCCAGACCATCCAAAAAAGAGGAGGACAGGTAATTCTCTCCCCTTATTGATACATTATGGAGATTTTCCTCTGTATTACATCTCTAAAATATCCCTTTGTTCTGTAGGCCTCCTCTGAGGGGTTTCCTGATGGATGGAGACTTTTACGTTGCTGCCTCATTGGCCACCACCCTCACCAAAGTGGCCTTGCGCTATGTTGCCCTTGCTGAGGACAAAAAAAGGCAAAATGTAAGTTAATTTCAAAATGGCTCATTCCATGAACAGTGACTAAACTATAATTATTCATGTGTCTGATTGTGGTGGAATAAATGTTATTTTGCTGCTCTTAGTCGTTCGTGGCAGAGGCTATGCTGATCATGGCCACTGTGCTCCATCTGGGCAAGTCGTCTCTACCCAAGAAGCCCATCACCGATGATGACGTGGACCGGATCTCACTGTGCCTCAAGGTCCTGTCTGTTGAGAAACCATCTCCTCTTACATTGGCTCCTCACGACTTTGCCAACATCAAAGCCAATGTGAAGGTGGCCTCCACAGAGAATGGCATCATATTTGGAAACATAGGTTTGTGGACTGTGTAGCTGTCCTTATTTATACCTGTACTGTTTTTTGTTGTTGAGAAGGGACCCGGAATCACTTTAATAAACAAAAACGCATGTTTTGCAGTATACGATGTATCAGGAGCAGCCAGTGACAGGAACTGCGTAGTCCTCAGCGACATTCACATTGATATCATGGACTACATCCAGCCGGCTTCTTGCACAGATGCTGAGTTCAGACAGATGTGGGCTGAATTTGAGTGGGAAAATAAGGCAAGTCTAGGGGACTGGTGACTTCTTTGTGAATAACGGCTACATTCTGTTAGAGGCAATGTCTGGAATTTGTTCTGTGTTTTGTTTCCACACAGGTTACCGTCAACACCAACATCATAGATCTGAGCGAATATCTCCAACACATTCTTAATTCTACCAACATGAAGTGCTTGACCCCAGAGAAGGTACAGTACTCACTCAGTGAGACCAGTAAACGCCTCTGGGATTTTCTAATGTTATTACAATCTTATCTCATGTTTTGCTTTTGTAACTCAGGCCCTGTCCGGCATCTGTGGCTTTATGGCAGCAAATCTATATGCCCGCTCTATATTTGGGGAGGATGCCCTTGCAAACGTCAGCATCGAAAAGCCAATCCACATGGGAGCTGATGCCCCAGTCAATGGCCATATTCGCATCCGAGCCAAAAGCCAGGTGAATTTGGATTAGCATGTATGAGTCTACAGATATGGATAATGATTGAGAATTTCAGTAATGGGATTAGCTTGCCTGCAGTGATATGTAACACTAAATGTGTAACTTTTCCTTGTTATCGGTTCTATTAATGTTCTATGAGTGACAGAAAATCAAACTACAAAGCCGCCTTTAATGCATAGTCATTTGTATATTTTAATGGTCAGTTACAAAGTCGTAATTAATGTTTATGAATTATTAATGTTCTTGAATTATGTAATTTGTTACTTGCATGACTGATAATTCTTCTGTTTTTTTTTTATAGGGTATGGCTTTGAGTCTGGGTGACAAAATCAACCTCTCTCAGAAGAAGTCATTCTCGTAAATTTCCGAAACTGAGGCCATTGAGGCAAAGGGCGAGATTCAACTAAAAAGCGCTATGGTCATTCCTATGTATTGTCTTTTTTTTTCTCTATCGCTTGTCTCTCCAGACTACCGTACACATACAGTGCTCTGTGGCCGAGATCTAATCTCTTCAATCCCTCAAACTATGTCTAAAGGGGATCACTTTGACGTTTTCTACCAACATGATTCTTCTTAACTGCTCTGAAAGGGATTGACGCTGTTAATCAGTAATCTGTTTCAATAAACATTGCACACCATATACCAAGCCTTTGTATTCTCTTGTTAACGAATGGTGTTACAGCGGCTCTTTTTTATGAATTGGATCGCTTGTAAGTAGTTAAGAATAGTCCTGCCCTCTATCCACAGTCGACACAACAAAGGATGTGTTCTCTTGAAAAAAACTTCTGGAATTTTGAGAATTTTGTTATGGTCTCCTGCCTCTTAGATAACTTAGGCTCATAAGACTTGTGGTCAGTCATAACTTTCATGTCTACGTAGTGTATAATAATATTAAGGACAAAGGCGTCAAGATTGTGGCTTCGCCCGGAGTATACAGTAAGGAGGCACATTAGTTTTTAAGTGAATATACACTACGGTTTAAAGTGTGGTAAAAGCAATAATATAGTATGTATAATAAGTATTATTATAAATTTAAAATAACTTTTATTTTTATATATTTTAAAATGTAATTTATTTCTGTGATGGCAAAGCTGAATTTTCAGCAGCCATTATTACGGTCTTCAGTGTCATAGAATCTAATTGGCTGACTTGGTGCTCAAGAAACATTTCTTATGAACATCAATGTTAAAAATAGTTGTGCTGCTTAATATTTTGGGGGAACTTATGTATTTTTTTCAAGACTGATGAATAGAAAGTAAAAAGAACAGCATTTATATGAAATAGAAATTTTTGTGACATTATAAATGTCTTTATCACTTTTGATCAATTTTATGTATCCTTGCTGAGTGAAAGTATTACTTTCACACAAAAAAAAATAAGGTAGTGTATGCATTGTACCTGGTCACCAGTCATTGTCTGTTAAAGTGCAGTGGAAGCATTTTTTGATGTAAATGATACATTAGATTTAAGTAGCTTCCAGTTTCATGTAGAGTGTTGGAGATGGGTGTGAAAAGTGCTGATGTGACTATATGTACTGTAAGTCCGGCATTTAATTCCATTAGGCTTTTATAACGAGGAACATTACTTGTATAAAAATTACATTAATGGAGTTTTATGAGCTGAACTTGAATAGTGTTATATATATTATAAATGTAATCAAATAAAAGGCAGTAAAAAAAATGAGGTAATGACGTTCTAAGCAAAGACTAATAATAGAGAAGATCGGCTCATAATGAACCTTTTCATAAGGTTTTCACATATGTCATGAAGACCCCACTTCAAATATTGTGCAACAACTGAACACGTTACTGTTCTTCTAATCCTCCTGAGCAAAACTCGTAATTGAAGCACTCAAGACTCTCCATCTGGCGATGACACAAATTTGGAGCTCATTACAGCTTTTTTTTCTGAATAATGCAATTTCAGAAAGAGACTTTGATCTATATTGCAACTTGTCAGCTCCTTTAGTTCTCATGAGACACACATTTGAACATGTTCATCACATCAGTAAAAGGTAGACTATTTGATTGTAAAACAGAAGCTGCCCCCTACGCTCTAGGGGGATTTTCACACTTTAAATGTCATTTTTAAGAATAGGATTAAAGTTCTTTCAAAACTGCAAACCCTGTTTGCATAGCAGTTTACTTCAGAAGAGACGATAGTCTCAAGCCTTCCATTTTACTTGCTATTCAGTTAAAATACTTTTTGTATCATTAGTCACACATTTTCTTGTGAGCATTGCATTGAAACTGATCAGTATTCTGACAAATCTTAAAAGTAGGTATAATTGTTTTAAATTTTTTATAATATTATTGCCCTTTGAAAATGCTGTGTTACTATGTCAGGTTGTTGCTGTTAATTTGTGACATGTTCATCACATCAGTAAAAGGTAGACTATTTGATTGTAAAACAGAAGCTGCCCCCTACGCTCTAGGGGGATTTTCACACTTTAAATGTCATTTTTAAGAATAGGATTAAAGTTCTTTCAAAACTGCAAACCCTGTTTGCATAGCAGTTTACTTCAGAAGAGACGATAGTCTCAAGCCTTCCATTTTACTTGCTATTCAGTTAAAATACTTTTTGTATCATTAGTCACACATTTTCTTGTGAGCATTGCATTGAAACTGATCAGTATTCTGACAAATCTTAAAAGTAGGTATAATTGTTTTAAATTTGTTATAATATTATTGCCCTTTGAAAATGCTGCTGTGTTACTATGTCAGGTTGTTGCTGTTAATTTGTGTTCTGTTCAATTAAAAAAATAAATAAATAAAAAAATCTGGCAGTGATTGCGCTTAGCCTCATTTGTCATTAGTGACTAAATGAGTGGTGAATCACAAAATGACAAAGCTATAGCTACAGTTTCTGTTTTGATATTACAACCACAGTAGGTGACTAATTAATCATACATGTATAGTAATAATGAAATTGTTCCTGCAATGTGAGTCATGGTGTGAGAGTTTAGACTTTTGCATTAAGATGTTTTTGTTCCTTTCATTTACTTGTGTCATTTTGTATTGATTTTCATCTTGCATGATATTTTATAAACTGTAAAAGCAATCACACTTGCAAGAGAGGGCCGTACTGCTAAATGGCCATAACACACTCTTAGTTGTGTGATACTGCTTTAATGTACTGTATACTACTGTTTAAATGTTTGGGGTCAGTGTTTTTATTTTATTTGATAGTTTTATTGAACAAGAATGCATTAAATCAAAAGTGACAGACATTTGTAATGTGACAAATGATTTCTGAAATGCTGCTTTTTTAAACTCTATCAAAGAATCCCGAAAAAAAATCACGATTTCAACAAAAATATGAAGCATCACAACCGTCTTGATCATTAATAATAATAACTGTTTCCTGAGCACCAAAACTGCATATTAAAATGATTTCTGAAGAATCATGTGACACTGAAGATATGGAGTATTTACCATCACAGTAACAAATTACATTTAATATTTATTGAAATAGAAAACTATAGAAAATGTATTTTAAAATAGTAATAATATTTCACAATACTTACTGTTTTTACTGTATTTTTTTGCAGCCTTGGTGAACATAAGAGAGAAAAAAACATTAAAAAATCTTACTGACCCCAAGCATTTGAACAGTTTTGTATATGGGATCAAGTTGTTTCAAATAAGAGAGGTAAGGCTGGCAAAAGCTGGTGAGGTGAACAGACAACATCCAGATATGTTATGTGCTATTAGACTCCTAATAAAAGCAGTATAACTGATTATCTCTGGTACACTGAATAAAGGGTTCATTCTGTAGATAAGACTGACATGTCTTGAGAGAATAATTTTCAGATGTTTTATGCAACATGTACACTCGTTATCTTTTCTGTTTCCAGGACTGTGGGAGGTGGAAAGAACTCCTGTTGTTGCTTTCCTCCCAGCGACTGCAGTGGGACCATGTGAATCTTGGAAGTTCTGGATTACGAGTTAAATGAAATTCCTCAAATTCCTCTGGGCCGAGAGAAAGAGTCAAAGGGGATTGATTAATTCTGCTACTCAAAATAATATCTTTCCACGGTTTGTGTATGAGCTACTGTTAAAAAGAGTATGCAAGCCATTGCGTGTGAAAAAAAAAAAGAGTATGCAAACCACAGTATCCTTTAACAATGGCATTTCTGGAGTTCAGTGGTATAGTATTTACAGGATTTACATTGCACAGCTGATGCTTCCTCATGTTGTAAAAATTCTTCCTCTGTTGATTCACAGGCCCTCTTTGTGAAGACCTCCAGAGGTCATACTGCCAAGTCATGACATGTAGAGGACTTCGGGGCTTTATTAGGATGGGTCATTGTGTTAAGATAGACTGAGCCTCAGTAAGTGTCCGGGTCACTCTTCTGCAGCTGTGGAAATAAACAGCTCCATTATAAACCCTGCACATTCAAGTGGGTGGAAAAGGGCCTTAATTGTTATATTTATCACATACACAGGTGCTGTGTTGTTGGTTGTCCACTTCAGATTTCCATAGACAGATGAAATCATTTTAATAAGTTTCCCACAATCTAAAATTATATTTGACAACTCATGAGAGTAAAGTGATCAAGAAACAAATAACCCATACAGTAAAAAAGAGTAAACATACAGTGAGATCATTCATTTTCAACATTACAATGGATAATATACAGAATAGACCTACTACAGATCCATTGCCACCAATGGTCTCTACAATCAACTTATCTCATGATGCTTTTGAGAAATGCAGCCCCGCAGTCTTTAATGGGGAGTGTTGCTCATCTCGTCTCTACAGAATCCCCACAGGTACTCAAGAGAATGTATATAGACATTGCCATGTTGAAAAAATGGCCAACAATGCAGGGAATGTGGAGGGGGTGGCATCATCTGTTTCAAGTTTTTGCATTACATCACTCAGTTTTGTGTGAATTCATGACAACACTGATAATAAAGAACAACTCCTTCACATGTTCAGCACTTACACATCATAACTTTACTGCCACTGAACTTCATTGTGAGGACCAGGCACTTTTCACTGTAGCAACACCATAACATTTTGGATGCTGTCAGATCCAAAAAGATTGACGACTTTAAAGCATATTTTGCCTTATTTTAAATAATTTTAAGCCATATTGCAGACCATTGGAATTGTGCTAAGCCCCAGTGCCCTGGTTGAGAACTAATTGAGAGGATTCAAGTGTACATTTTCATTTAGCAAACCAGCCTAAGATGGTTTGCTGGTCTTAACTTGTCTCCAAGCCTTGGCTCGTTTTAGAGGGGTTTTAGGTACTTTTCAGTTTGACATTAAACAGTGAATGACCATAAGATAGCCCAGGACCACCATAGACACTGAGGGGGACAACATTCCTGCAAAAAAAAAAAAAAACACCGCTAAAACCAGCCTAAGCTGGTTGGCTGGTTTTAGCTGGTTGTCCAGCCTGGTCATAGCTGGTCAGCAGGCTGGTTTTAGAGGGGCTTTGGCCATTTCTTTAGCTGGTCAGGCTGGGAGACAAGTTGGCCAGCCAGCTAAAACCAGCTTAGTCAGGCTGGGAGACCAGCTACTTCCAGCTTAATTCAGCTTAGGCTGATTTTAGCTGTTTTTTTTTCAGCAGGGATGGGCTTCTCAGTGGCGTACTTAAACTTTTACTACACAATTTTGGATATTTAGTAATTGAGATCAATAATACACTCACACAATGAGTTCCACACCAACGCATACTGGCGGGAAGAGCAGTGGACGCCCCCTAGCGTCTGCTGCGTGAACTGGTTGAACTGATTAGCCCTATCTTCCCCTCATCTTGCAGCACAGGCAGTCCAGTCAGTGCCTGGTAGCGATTTAGGCGAGGGCGTATGGACTTGAGGCAGCAGTGAATGCATTTCCCACAGACTGTGGTCGCACTTTTTTCCTCTCGTACGGATTACCACTGAGTTCACACATCGCCTAAACGCCGCATCGCATTTTTTTCCGCTGCATTTCTCCATCTGAAGGCCTGTCACAGAGTAAAGTGGCTCGGTGTGCGTGTGTTTAGACAGCGGAGCGAGAGCAGCAGTGTGTCCCCGATGGCTGGCTGGAAGGACGGCTCAGTGCAGGAGAAATATCGCCTGGTGGTCGTCGGAGGTGGTGGCGTCGGAAAATCAGCATTAACCATTCAGTTTATCCAGGTAAGCGGATAGATGGCGGAATGCTGTGTGCTTTTCGGCCCTTTAAAAAGATGTGAGGGTGTTTAGGAGATATGGGTGGACCTTGCTCACAGAAATGGGGACCCCATAAGCGGAAAAGGGGGTTCAGGAATCCGAGCGAGGCCTGCGTCACTTTAACTCTCCGCCTATATTCAAGAAAATTACTGCCTAAACGTAAAAATAAACATATCTGGAGAAATGTAGGAGTTCATGCATGCAGTGAGAGTTAAAACTCTGTAGCGAAAGTGCTGTATGTAGTTCATAGGCATGAGAAACACTTTCGTAAACTGTTGCATATTAGACTGAGATACACAAAAGTACCGTGTTTCTGCTAGCTATTGTTTTTTTTTCTGCCAAATCTGTGTTAATAAAAATGACATTTCTAGTGTCAGAAGTTTTCAGAATCATTATGTCATTTTAATTGTTGATGAAATGGGTGGTTAATACCAGGTTATTGTAGTGAAAACTGCAGTAAGGCTCAGTTATTGTTACACTCATTCTTGAGACATGGGACAAAACATGTATCACAACTTTACCTGCTTAGTTTTCAAAATGGCAACATTTGCACGTCACAATTAACCAGAAATGGTAAATAGAATGTTCATAACACAGATGTATCATTTGTTTTGGTTTTAAATGTATTTTCATCTATGATATTACGTTATTACTCGCTACCCTAAAACCACTTGTTCTCAGACCATTAATCAGTACTTCATGTACCGATAGAAATAATTTCAACTTAAAGAAAATAAACATATAAAATATGTAATTTTACTGCTATGTCTTGGTAGAAGGAAAAGGTTGTGTTTTTAATATACGTATATATATATTTAATTAATTATGCTTACGTTTTCTTTGTTCAATTACAATATATTAACTCCACTGATAAAATAATAAAGAAATTGTTTAGGATTTTCTCAAAGTTTAAGTAAGTCATGTTAGTAGTTAGCAACATAAGAAAAACAAAATGGCTACTGCATTTAATGTGATATGCAAGATATGATTGTTTTGTAAATATCATAAGCTGTAAACAACACTGTAACATTTTCTGTCTGGCTCAATAGTTGGAGCTGAATATCAATCTGAACCCATCTTGTTGTCTCAGTTAATTAATTCAGTGACGTGAATGCTAAATTTGTCAATGTTTATGATAAATATTATTTTTGTATTTGACACTCTTGAAAACACTCAAGAAAAAAAAAACATGTATTCTGTAAGAAAATTGAAGAAGTATGCATTTAAAAATAATTGTGATGCATTAACTTTAATCTTATTTAGTTTTGTAGTTTGTTTTGTCCCAGTACTCAAGAATCTGTTGTTACAATAAGACAAGAAAACAATAAATCATTTTATTTTAGGTGACTTATGTGCCTATGATGCCCCAAAATGGTGTCTACTGTAGGTAGACAACTGACTAGGGTTTGAGACACAGTCTAAATCTGTCTCTCGTAAAGTTGTCTCATCTCTCATAGTTTGTCCTAATAAACTTCTAGCCAGGCAGCTACATTGCAGCAGATTACAGGGTAGGGTGTGCTAAATAACTTGGCGTGACCGGCAACATGTCGATGAGATATTTGGGGTGTAATTCAAGAAAATGTAGTTACATGCCTGAGGAAGCCGATTTGTTTTTGTGATGAACGTTTAATAGGAAAGCAGAGTTTCTTATCTTTTAGGTGTACACATTCAAGCCTAACTATTTTTTCTTGCTGAAGAAAACCAATGATGAATGTTAGGGTGAGTGTGTAACAAGGTTTACAGTAATTAATTTATAGTGTGAACTGTGACGATATTAAAAGTGTATTTGTTGGATTTAAGAGCAGCGATATACAACTGATGTTTCTACTGAATCAGTCTGATCTGATTAAAGCAGCAGATCTATATCAGAACAGACATTTTCTCTTTAATTGCTTTTCTTTATCATAGTAGTGTTGTATCTTCCTTACATTCATGCCAGATTGCTGTCTTTCAGCCACAGTCTCCTCCCCATAAACCAGTTTAATTAATCATAGACTTGCTGAAATATAGCTTTCTTTGTCCATATTTTTGCAAGCATGAGCAAGAGAGGAATTAAAGTGCATTAATATGCTCGATCACCTTCTACCCTTGTGATTTTTACTAATGCTTAACTGCTGCTGGCAGTGCCGCATTTGAGCTCAATAATCTACATTTGTTGACGTCATGATCTGTTACTAGCAAATGGGCTGAATAAAACACCTTCAGATAGTAATGAAAATCAGACTACAATTATGCATTAACCAAACACACTTTAGCATGCAGAGAAAGGAAATCAAATCAGCTGTTTTTAAGTGTGTGTATTATGCTGAAACACAGTTTAATAGGGATGTAGGATGAAAGTGTTGATTTTCACTGGTGCTAAATGTGTGAAAACCAGAGTAGTCCAAAGAAAACCATGTAAGAGCCTTCCTGTTGGAGTGTTTCTAGAAGTCTTTGCCAGTGAGAAAGCACAGCCCAGCTGTTTTCTGACTCCAGGCTTTCCCATTCAGATGTGTGTTACTCAGGGAGGTTTCATCTGAGTCATGTTGGGTTAATGACCATGGAGAAGCCGGAATCCGGCATCTGAAAGAGGAAGTCCCTCCACTCCTGTTTGGTCTCTAAAGACCCCCTGGATGTGTATGGGAAAGTATGCGCTGCCTCCTGACTCGCACCGCTCTGCGACAGTGTGTTAGGTGCACGCGTGACATTCTACATTAGTTACGCTGTCCGGAAACATAATTGATTGCTGTCAAAATTTGGTTGAAGATACTGCAGTGATGCATTACTTTGCTTGACTGCTACACATGGTGCCACAACATTGACTTCACTACAAAAGCAGGCTGGTTGATCTCAAGCTAGCGTCATGACATGAGCCATGATCAGCACCAGTCAGGCATGTGACTCAGACCAAAATGGATTTGTTTACGTCATTGTGATGCAACCCAAGCTGTGTAGCGCAAGTATGGCCTTTCATGTAGTTTCATACAGGTATTATATAGTAACAGATTACGTTTTTGTTAATAAAATCAAGATGATTTTTGTCATTATTTTTCGTTTTATGGCTATTTTAACCATGTGTCATAGATATTAATTAAATAAACAAATGATAATTTCATGATTAATAATAATGTTAATTAACATATTTACTAATCAAGATTAATTTTGTCTTTATTTTTCATTTTTTAACTTTTAAAAATGGAGAGTTAATGTAATTTATGCGATTATTAAAGCTGCAAGAAAATCATTGCTTTTTGCCTTGTGTCCTAGAGTGTCGTCAGCTGAGCTTCTTGTGAGTAACGGCTGTTCCTCATTAGCAAAGGTGTGAAAGTGAAATTGTTGTAGGCCTCACTGACCTTTTTATGGCTTCAGACGGTCTCAGAGTACACTAAGTGTAGCATGGCGCTGTTGAAGGCATGATCACATGTTAGCTAATATTAGCTCTTATCGCTGGCTCTCTCATTTCTGGGAGAACGGACTCCCTGCAGGACCACTTCCTTATGATTGCAGCATGGTCAGAACTCAGTGGTTACGTATGTGAATGTTTTAGCTTCAAACAAGGCCTACACTATGCTGAGAGAAAGCAGAAACAACAATCTTCTGACAATTTTAGAGGTGCATGGTAGACAGTTTTGATTGCTAATATGTAAAATCATTTTGGATAAATGCTGTATGGAGCTATAATCTGATATATAGATTAAAATATGGTGAGTATGAATTTTTGAAAAGAAATGAATAGTTTTATTTAGCAAAGACAATTGATCATAAGTGACAGTAACATTGTTACCAAACATTTCTGTTTTAAATAAATGCTGTTATTCTGAACTTTCTGTTCATAAAAGAATAAAAATTTACCACGGTTTCCACAAAAAAATATTAAGCAGTGTTTTCAACACGATAATAATAAGAAATATTTCCTGAGCATCAAATATTTTCTATTGAAATTTTCCATTTAACTATTTTATTAAAAAATTGTTTCCTGCCTTATACTTTTGTAGGATATTGGTAATATCAGTTCTCTTATATTTGTTTTTCTGATACAGTTTTGCCATTTCTGCTTATTATATAGCAATGTATAGGGGCTTGTTTTTGCTTACCCAAAACACAGTAACTGTAGACCAGGTTAGACCAGGTTGTATTTTTTTTAAATATCTGGCAACCCATCACTTGGAGCTTTAAAGAAGAGAACACGTTTGTGTGAGGGAAGAATTCAGAAGAGAGTGGAAGGAGAACAGTACATGTATGCAAACTGAATAGAAACTGTTGTTAATGCCGATTGGTGGGGAGTTATATAAATAGTTTGAATTACACACAACTTGTAACTGCATTTTTTGCGCCCGCATTTTACCTCAAACCACTGCTCTAGTTGAGGGGAAGACTATCTGTGAAATAAAGAATTGCATGTTTGTGGAAATAATTTTTTTAATGTAAACTTTACCTTTAAACAAATCACTGCATTTTCACAATGGGTTTGACAGTAGTAAGTGTGAGAGACTGTGTGTGGGAGGCTGTGTGAAGCAGGTAACGTGAGAGTAGAGATGTTGTTTTCTTCCTGCAGACTCACCTGTTGATTTCTCACACTGCTGTACTGATAAACAGTAAACACACACTGTACTGATTAAAACAGTACTGTTTTCCCAAGCATGTGGCTTAAAAGAAGATCCTCCTTCTCTATCTGAATAGGAAGGACCTCCACATTTTACAAGTACTTTTACATAACTACTCTACCATTGAAAAGTTTAGGGTCAGTTTTTTTTTTTTTTTTTGAAAAATTAATATTGTTAATCAAGGATGCAATAAATTGATCAAAAATAACAGTACAAATATTTAGAATGTTACAAAAAGTTTTAAATTTCAAATAAATGCTGTTCTTTTGAAATGTCTATTCATTAAATAAACCTTAACAAAATTATCACGGTTTCCACAAAAATATTAAAACCACTTAAGCTCAGGGCGTTTTTTGGTATTTTCGCCTAAATTTAACATACTCA